CCGAGTTTCCAAATGGGCACTGAACCAGTATCAAGCAGGAGAGTAATCAAGAGTCAGGTCAGGAACAAGCCGGGTCAGCAACAATGAAATCACACAGGAACGAGCAGGAAACAGGGAACAGCTGAAGCCCAGTCAGCACTCAGCACAGGCAGAGGCACCTTTTAAATAGTCCGTTTGGAGCCAATCTTCACCGTGCGTGTGCTTGTGCGCATGAGTGTGCACAATCGCGCATATCTGTGCCAATGCCTATTCGCCAGCCGTCTTACGGGAATTCCCTTACAGCTAGGCTGCCCTTGCACTATGATGGGAAAAGAACCTGGGGCAAATCAGTGGGCCCTTTCAGAGTGAGCGCAGCATGCAGAATTTGCTATTTCAGGATGCAGAGATTTGGTGATCCAGTCTGAACTCTGATCCTCCACTTCAGCAAAATTAGCCAAGGCATTTGGTCACATGGCCAGCTGCTATAGACTAGTAAAGCACAGGTAAGTGTTTTGTGGTTTATGCTACAATTTATGAGAAAGATGGAAGCAAGTTGAGCAATGGAACGAGGGGGCTTATTTTAGCAATAGGTCTGCTTTACAGGAGCCAAATCAATAATGTACAGAGGTGCCAACGAACTGTAATAGCTACTGTTGCTTAGTGAGAGGACAAGACAGAAAACATATTTGTTACAAACTGGGGACCACATAGGCTTATTTGTTTTGTAATTTACATTTTTACTTTTAATTAGTGCTCTGGGGAGTTCATAAAGTATGACACACCATCAATTACAAATGCTATAATATAAAAAGGTAGCACAATTGGCATACAGGTAACTCATTATTTCCAAGTGCGACCTGGACCAAGACACTGAGTAGGTCATATACTGTAGGTATGGTCTTTGATTTGTTTTTATCTTTTTTAATAATAAATTATGTTTAATTATCCATTATTTGCAATTAAACTGTTCCTATTTATAAGCTGTTTTAAAGCGGCATTAAACCCAAAAGCAAAATTGTATAATATTGCGGCTTACCAATCATTGGATGTGATAGCTGCATCAGTTTACTTTTCTTTGGCTTTCTTCCCTGGTGTTCCAGCCAGCAAATCTGTTGCTTTTCAGAAACACAAACTCTCTAGCAGAATGTATCAGCTTACATGGATGAGACAAACCATTCCCCCCTTATTCTGTAACATTTGTTACACACTGGTAAGCTATTGTACTATGTAATCAAGTTGTTCCTGTAACTATTTTCTTGTAAACATTTACAAAAATTATGAAACAAAATTACTAAGCTAACATACTGTCATTTGGAAGTTTTTAATTAAAGGATACAATCATTTAAAACTGTTTATTTTTATTTCAAAAGAAAAATTATTATCAATCATGAATTCATAAAACAAATTAGACATAACATTACACTTCAATAAACAATATAGTAAAAACTATATGAAAGTAAAGAAGAAATTTTTTTGATCATTAAAAAGTGCCAAATTATATAGATTTACAGAACGGATCGACTTCAATATCAGCTTCATAGTTCTGCTACCAGCCTATAAACACACATTTTAAAGTGACTGTTCATGGAGCTGCTGACAGATCAGTGTACATCAGGGAGGTAAGATCAGCTATGCACATCTGACCACTCCCAAGGGCTTTCAGACAGTCCTCAGTTTCTATGCACATTGCACATTTACCGAGACATACAAATTTCTGCCACATCACAGATCACTCACATATCCCTTAAAGCTAAATTACAGGAATCCTAAAAATCCTCACTTGCTGTGGGGCTTTGCCTATACTGCAAGGGTTACCTGCTCCTTTATAACTAGGGGACTTTGAAAAGCACTTTTACTTACCCAATCTTCTGCTCCTGCAGAACCATCCCCACTGCAAGGAAGGATTTGTAGGTTTCCTGGAGTTGGGCTTTAAAGTGGACAAAATCATTAACTTTACAAGCATAAATTCCTGATGTGTCAATAGTATCATTTTTCCAACTTTTCTTTATTAATCTCATTTGCTGACAAAGAGATTTATGAAGCCAGAAAGTATGGGTCATGCTCAACTTTTGCAGTACAATTTGTGCAGTTTGAACTTTAGTTTCCCCTCTCACTTGATCAACAAATTGTTTAGTCATAGGTATTCACTTAAAGAGGAGTTCCACTCACTGTTTTAAAAAAATAAAAGTCAGCAGCTACAAAAAACACCCACTCACCTGTCCCACAATCCCCCGTTGCCCCCGCCGCAGCCCGTTTCACTGGCATCTTCAGTGTGGGCACCCAGCTGTGACATCTTGCGGCTTCACACCCAGGTGCCCACTGCGCATGCGTAAGTAGCGCTGTGCTTCCTGTGTGGCCCCGTCGTCTTCTGGAACCTGTCACGTGTTCCACAAGACTTCGGGGAAGGAGGGTAGGAGGACAACTTCCGCTTCCGATCACCTAGGCCAGTGGTGGGCAACCTTTTTTTTCAACTAAGCCAAATCTTGCCAAAACCACGATTGAAATTTATTTTGAGAGCCACATTTTTAAAACTGAAAATACATAGGATGGTACACTGTTTTTAGTTTCAATACGTTTTTATAGTAATTCATCCCCCATATAGTAATTCATCCCCCATTTAGTAATTCATCCCCCATATAGTAATTCATCCCCCATAGTAATTCATCCCCCATATAGTAATTCATCCCCCCATATAGTAATTCATCCCCCATAATAATTCATCCCCCATAGTAATTCATCCCCCATATAGCAATTCATCCCCCATATAGCAATTCATCCCCCATATAGTAATTCATCCCCCATAGTAATTCATCCCCCCTATAGTAATTCATCCCCCATATTAATTCATCCCTCATATAGTAGTAGTAAGTAAGTAGTAAGCCAAGTCCCCCCTGTGTCAATTCACTTACCTTTGCTCCGCGCGTTCCTCTCGCCGTGTTCCCGCACCGTTCCGGTATTCAGGGTGGACTGTGAGAGGAGCCTAGCTCCTCTCACGTTCGTCACGCTGCCCCGCCTACACACATCCTGACAGCCAATCACTGGCTATCAGGATGTGAGTGGCAGCGAGACTGGCCAATCATTGCATTTGAGCGCGCTGCCCTGGCTGTTTTTTTTTTGGATCACGCTGCAGAGTCCCTGCCGCCCCAGAGGAGGGAGGGGAGCGGGCGCCCAGCACACAAGAGCCGCATTAAAGCGTGTAAAGAGCCGCATGTGGCTCGCGAGCCGCGGCTTGCCGACCACTGACCTAGGCGATCACAGCGGAAGTGGGAGCGGGTACCTGTCAATTTTGGGTACCTATTCCTCCCCGCTCCCCAAAGGTGCCAATCCTTATTGGGGAGAGGGGGACCAATCTTTAAAGCAGAACTTCCCCTTTTGGGTGGAACTCCGCTTTAAGTAGCCCCTGCATATGCATTTATTGATGCTTAGTTTAAACTGTCAAGGTGTGTGACAGGTTTAGGTAAGTCAAGCTGGCAGGAGAAGAGGGCATGTTATTTACCTTCAAGCCTCTAAACTTTTTAAAGCAAGTGTATTTTTACTCTCCTGGCAACAAACTCTGATCCAGGGAATCTCCAGCTTAAGTCTTCTGCATGAACCAAGTGTCAGTCTCCTGGCCTCCTCAGAACTCTGTATTAGGATACAATGTACTGGTATGCTGCAGAGTGGGCTGTGAACAGGTATGTTAAGCTGTGCAAAGGAGACTGATGTCAGAACCAGGATCTGAACCTGGGACCCCTGCATCTGGCAGTAGCTCCTCTTGCTGAGCCACCTGGGAAAGCATCCTGTCTGAACCCTTGGATAATCTTGCTTTGCACCTTGTTTCTTGTGAACATTGAACTCCTTGATCTTCCCATGTACTTCCATGGTTCTGCACTTCCTGTTTGCCAGATTATTGTGCTCTCTCCAGCCAATATTTTGCCCATTTGGCAAATGTGCAAGAAGAAATCTTTCTAGGCAAAATGTAATCAAAGTCCCCTTTAGTAACTGTTGATGTAATCGCAAGAAAATCCTATAGACATACTTTAGTCTTTGCTGACCGTTTGGTAGGTATCTTTTACATCTGTTCTTACACCTCTGCTAGTAACTGCATTTCTCTTCACAAATATTTAGAATTACATTGGTTAGATCCTGCAAAAAAATGGAGACTCTAGTATATCTTTAATTTATTACAGGGAAACACAAGTACTAAAGATTTTGTTCAAAAGCGGCCCATACATTATTCAGTTTTTTTCGATCAACCAGTGGGTTGAATGAAAAAAATTAACCTGATTCCCCAATCCACACACTTGATATGTATAGGAAATTCAAATGCTGTGTCTTTGCATTCTGACACATAGGGAGACCTCCCCTCTATCAGAATACACTGATCAGAGCTACAGGCTATAGTTGGTAACACTGATTGGGCAGGGAAAATCCAACAGGGTGGTTGTGCACATGTTGATCGGTAGATCGAATTCTGTACAAACACAGTGCCTATACATGGTTCCAGCTGAACCTGCCGAATTTCACTCCATGTATGGGCAGCTTAAGGGTGTACAGTAGGGAAGAGAAAAGAGTCGTAAAACAAGAAAGGCAACAAACAAAAAATGAGACGAGAAAGAAGAGACAACGTGAAAGACAATAAAAAGCCTTACCTTAACATTTCAGGCTAAAGCCCTGTATACATTTTGAGAATATTGGACAAATGATCAAATGGCAGAAAAAAAATTTAAAAGTGATGTAATTTGCATTGTATTTGCAGACGAAATCTGTACAAAAAATTATGCCATCTGCTATCCCTTTGAGTAATTTTATATGATTACTGTGTACTAACGATCAGATTGTCGTACGATCACTTTCAAAGCGGAATTTTTTGTATGATTTTCTGATCGTGTGTACGGAGCTTAAGTGGTCTGGGTCTTTTACAGCTGTAGTTTTGCCCCTGTGGACAAATTGTGTGTCTAAAGGACCAACAAATGTATTTAAACCTTAAATATATATTTTCTTTGTGGTTCTTTAAGATTGGAAACAAGAAATATGAAAGCATGTGTGATGCCAATGAAACTGAGTTTTCGGAGTTCCTCTTGCTTGGATTTCATGAGTTCCACAATCTTAAGGTTCTATTGTTCTTCCTCTTTCTTTTTTTTTATCTTTTGATAGTGACTGAAAACTGTCTGATTATTACAATTGTGTCATCTTGCCAACACCTTCATGTCCCCATGTACATCCTCCTCCGGAACCTGGCACTGACGGACATCCTCTTAACTTCTAACATCATGCCTAAATTGTTAGAGGTGACTTGGTTAGGCGGGACAGTCATATCCAAAATGAGCTGCTTCTTACAATTCTACTTCCATTGCATCGCAGCTTATATACAATCTTTGGTTCTTACAGCAATGGCTTTTGACAGATACTTAGCCATTTGTTACCCTCTCCAATATTCTTCTGTTATGAATCAGAAACTCTTCTTTCATCTGGCATTTTGGCCTTGGACAATCCCCATCATCCTGCTTATAAGTGAAACAGTTTTAGTAAGCCAGATTGGTTTTTGTGGTTCCAGAGTCCTAGACCATTTCTACTGTGATGTTGTTCCCATTTTGGAAATTGCCTCTACAAACACTTCTAAAGTACAGTTCGAAGACTTTTTAATGACAGTTCTTTTGTCATTTATACCCTTTGTTCTTGTTGTTATATCCTATATATGTATAGTAAATGCTATCATCAAGATCAAGTCAAGTGACGGTAGACGGAAAGCCATCTCAACAAGCAGTTCCCATCTTGCAGCCGTGTGCACCTATTTTGGACCTATAATCACCATCTATATATTTCCAGTAGGGGGGAGCACACCTTATGAAAATAAAATGAAATCTTTGCTATATACAACCATAACCCCTTTAATTAACCCAATGCTTTATAGCATGAGAAACCACGAGATCAAGAAAGCTGCACAGTTACTGTTTCAGAACAGAATGTTTTTCATAAAATCATTCTAAAGAACTAAGAAGAGGAGGTTCGGGTCCGCTCTGTGCAAAACCATTGAAACCAAATTTTTGGCTTTACATTACCACAGTGCCCCATCACTTTTAGTAACTTTTAGCTAGTTATTCTAGATGTCACCTGCCACCTGCATAATGGCAATGTATGAAGGTGGTTGCAATAAAGCTAAATGGTGTCTGCTATTACTTTATTCTGTTTACCATTCAGGGCAAAGTGACAGATTCTGTCAAAATCTTTGTGAGCTTCGATACTAACTGACACCCATGATTCTGGCAGAAGTGATGGGGAGCACAGCAAATGTGAGCATCAGTAGGGGTGAGGAAATTTCAAGATAACCTATTACTTTGAACAGAATGAAACAAGTGACAGATTACCTTTCACCACATGCAAAAAGGTCCAGTTCTGACATTTCTCACATTCATGTGAAAATATAATTTTTTTTGCTAGAAAATTACATAGAACCCCAAACAATATATATTTTCAGAGATTCCTTTTTTGTTCAAATTTTCAGGAAAAAAATACTTTAATGTATTTTAACACACAAAAACACAATATAATACCCATATTTTTTTGTAAAATATAAAAGATGATGTTACACAGAATAAAGAGATATTTAATATGTCAAACTTTTAAATTAGGTACACTCATGGAACGTCGACAAACTATGGTACCTAAAAATCTCCACAGATGATGATTTAAAAGCCTTTACAGGTTACCACTTTAGAGTTACACAGGAGGTCTGGCACTAGAATTATTACTCTCACTCTGATGATACCCCATATGTGTAGTGCAGTTACCCTTTATATATGCATGCAGGACTCCTATGCACATTTACATTTGTATGCAAGCATGGGGGAACAGGAATGCTTTAATTTCTTTTTGAATGTTATTATTTTTTTTTAAACTTATTTTTACACTGTCTCGTAAATTTTTTTAAATTGAACTTTATTGCTATTAGACCCCAGATCTCTCTTCTGCCCTCCAAAGCATTTAATCAAACCAAGAACAGTTTCATTAGCTGCTTTACAAGCCAGTAATGGCTTGCAAACAAATAAACTGGAACTGTAAGTCACAAAATCCTTGTCGCTTGCAGTTTCTGATGTCACAGAATAGGGAAAGGAACTTCTGCTCCTGTTCACTGTGCATCTGACATGTTGCATCAGTCCCTAGCTCTCCTGCAGGAATGAGAGCTGGGAAAGGCGGCAGGTGGTGGTGGGAGAGGAGACCCCCTTTTCGCTGCCTGTAAAAGTGATCGGCAGCTGTATAGCCACGCAGACCTATTTTACATTGTAGTCCATCGCCGGCTGCAAAGTTTGATGCGAGGATCATAGCTGCAGCCATGATCCTGGTATAACTACTGCTCGACGAGGAGAGATATATATATATATATATATATATATATATATATATATATATATATATATCCAAAAAAAGATTTTTTTTTGCTTTGGCATGGGAACGTGTTAGAACTCAGCACCACAAAGACAGAAAGTTGTAAGAAATATCTCCAATGGAGAAAAAGGACCATATCAATATTATCTTTATTCTTGCTTATCTTTGCATTCCAGGGTGAGAAAGAAAGAAATTTCCCTAATAAGGCCACATGTAGCTCAAAGAGACCTCAGAGCTGATTTACACATGTGTGGAGCGGATTGAAGCTCAAGTTTCACAGCTAATTGATACAGTAGTTCTTCACAGGTTTACGTCAGGTTTAAGATAGGATTAGCTCAGGATCTTATCTTGTTCACACATATGCAGTTTAGAAAAGGTTCCCATAGAAGTCAATAGCCTATATAGCCTGTAATCCGCACCTGAAATGGACTGTACTGCTCAGAAATCGGACAGGACTCTTTATAAAAAAAGAGGTTGTAATTTTCTTCCCATTCTAGCCAAAACTCAATATAATGATCCGCTGCCCTCTGTGACGATACGTGGCGTCCAACCCCTGCCCTTCTCACTAACTCGTGAACGAAGGACCAGCCAATCTCGCACCGCGCTGTCACTTGCGTAACAATGCCACTCTTAGCTGCACCCTGCACAAAGATTTTCCAGCTCGAGGGACCACAATCTACAGTTGCAAGAAAAAGTATGTGAACCCCTTGGGATTCCGTGGAGTTTTGCATGAATTGGGCATAAAGTGTGCTCTGAACGTCATCTAAGTCACAACAATAGAAGAACACAGTCTGCGGAACATAATACTACACAAACACACAAACATTAGATGTTGCCATGGTTTAATTGCACATAACATGTAAACATTCACAGTGCAGGGGGAGGAAAAAGTATGTGAGGCCCTAGCTTAATGACTTCTCCCAGAGCTAATTGAAGCCAGGAGTGAGCCAACCTTAACCTCCAATCAGTGTGATGATATTGGATGTGTTGCTGACAGCTGTCCTGCCCTTAAAAAACACACACCTGTTTTGGGTTTACTGGTTTCAAGAAGCACTGTCTGATGTGAACCATGCCTCGCAGAAAAGAGCTCTCAGAAGACCTACGAACAAGAATTGTTGACTTGCATGAAGCTGAAAAGGGTTACAAAAGTATCTCCAAAAGCCTTGATGTTCATGTGTCCACAGTAAGACAGACTGTCTACAAATGGAGAAAGTTTAGCACTGTTGCTACTCTCACTAGGTGTGGTCGTCCTGTAAAAATGACTGCAAGAGCACAGTGCAGAATGCTGCATGAGGTAAAGAAGAATCTCAGAGTGTCAGCTAAAGACCTACAGAAATCTCTGGCACATGCTAACATTTTTGTTGACACATCTACAATAAGGAAAACATTAAACAAGAATGGAGTACATGGGAGGACACCACGGAGGAAGCCATTGCTGTCCAAAAAGAATATTGCAGCACATTTGAAGTTTGCAAAAGAGCACCTGGATGTTCCACTGCACTACTGGCAAAATATACTGTGGACAGATGAAACCAAGATTGAGTTGTTTGGGAAGAACACACAACACTATGTGTGGAGAAAAAAAGACACAGCACACCAACATCAAAACCTCATCCCCACTGTAAAACATGGCGGAGGGAGCATCATGGTTTGGGGCTGCTTTGCTGCCTCAGGGCCTGGACGAATTGTTGTCATTGATGGGAAAATGAATTCCAGAGTTTATCAAGACATTTTGCAGGAAAACATACGACCATCTGTCCTCCAACTGAAGCTCCGCAGAGGATGGGTGATGCAACAGGACAATGACCCAAAGCATACAAGTAATTCAACAAAACAATGGCTGCAACAGCACAGAATACGCCTTCTGGAGTGGCCCAGTCAGAGTCCTGACCTCAACCCGATTGAAATGCTGTGGCATGACCTTAAGAGAGCGATTCACACCAGACATCCCAAGAATATTGCTACCCTGAAACAGTTTTGTGAAGAGGAGTGGTCCAAAATGACTCCAGATCGTTGTGCAGGTCTGATCTGCAACTACAGGAAACGTTTGGTTGAGGTTATTGCTGCCAAAGGAGGGTCAACCAGTTATTAAGTCCAAAGGTTCACATACTTTTTCCTCCCTGCACTGTGAATGTTTACATATTATGTGCAATTAAACCATGGCAACATCTAATGTTTGTGTGTAGTATTATGTTCAGCAGACAGTGTTCTTCTATTGTTGTGACTTAGATGACGTTCAGAGCACATTTTATGCCCAATTCATGCAAAACTCCACGTAATCCCAAGGGGTTCACATACTTTTTCTTGCAACTGTATGTGCCAGCAGCCTGAGAGTGATTGTTACTGGGTCAGGTTAATTATGCAATTAACCCTTCACACTACCACCACCACCTTTTTACAGAGAAGAGGAAATTCACAAATCCTAGCAATAACACTATGATGTTATCATAAGCATCTGTAATACACACTGTCACCAAAGACAGATATATTCAGGGGATTATTACATACAGTAGCACTCTTCAAGAGACAGGAATTCTTTACTTTGCATTAAAAGCTTTAGAGACAGTTTCAACACTTTTCAAAATAGGATTTATTACTAAAAAGGTCAAAATGGTGCAGTTAAAATATTTACAGAAAAAAAGATGTTCTAAAGATATAAAGAGAGCAATAAAACAACAGAGAACTAAAAGAAAGTTCAGAAGGCAGAATACTTGCAATGTTCTTGGTTTGAGCAGAGTCCAATTGTCCAAACAAAAAGATTGCCTTGGCTCTCAAGTCCGTTGGATGTTTCCTGATTGATATTAAACGAGAGCTGTCTTTTCCAGCCTGTCAGTCTTTTTCTATCATATTAAAGGGGTGTCGCCTGAGAACAAATGACCAATCATCCAGTGTGGGGATGGGTTTTAGGTGGTAACCAAGGTTATGACCAAGTCGCCTTCCAATTTCATACTAAGGTTAATAACCTCCAATAGGTACAGGTAGCATCTAGCAACTGGCAGATTAATATTCAGAATTATATTTCAAACTCAGGGATACCAAACACAGGGTACCTTTGTCACCCAATAGGAAAGAGACTGCTTTCTTCTCTCTTGTAGGTGCTAATATAGTCATGTAAGGTTTTGTTTGACTCATATTAAAATTATCTATCCTAATATTAATGTGCCCAGTTCCTGCTGAACTTTATGAATTGTATGCAAAATGTCTACATGTGGAATGTACGTTTTATGGCACGCTCTAGCCCTAATGGCCCAACAGGTGACTGACTGAGTTATTGTTTTACAATCAGGCAGTGGAAAGTGGTTTTCAGAGCAGACCCCTTGAACCAGACTAATTAGCGGTTTACAGCCCTGGGGCTTCTTCTAGCTGTGTTTTATTTAGGATAAAAGGCCCTTTTGACCTCTGAGGCCATTAAAGAAAAGAATACAGTCCCTACAGTCAAACATGGTGGAGGTTCACTGATGTTTTGGGGTTGCACTGCTTCTTCAGGCACTAAATGTCTTGACCGTGTGCATGGCATTATGAAATCTGAAGACTAGCAAATAATTCTGGGTTCCAATGTAGGGCCCAGTGTCAGAAAGTTGGGTCTCCGTCAGAGGTCATGCGT